TTTGAAGGAGCAGTTTCAACTATTGGAATCAAACAAAAATGGCACTATAAGCTTAGAAAATATTAAAGCGGTTGATTGCCTTCCCCCCTAACCCGACACTTACACACACAATCTTGAAAATTTTCAGCAGTTTCTTGTAAGTTATTTAGTTCTTTGGTCTGGTTAGGTTCTGATAAAAAATGCAACAGATGCCATGAAGGAATCTTGCATCCCTGAGTTCCTTGCATCAGTAGGTGCTTCATCTTTTTTTTTTTTGGGTGGTGGTGGTGTAGTGGAAATGTGTATAAAATTTAAGTGGTGGTCTGAATCTCTAATTGTGTACACTTTTTCCGTTTGTGGTAGCTAAATACACTTCAATACAGACGGATGGACTTTGATGAATTCTGTGCAGCTGCATTAAGTGTTCATCAGCTAGAGGCTCTTGACTGGTGGGAACAACATGCACGTTGTGCTTATGAACTCTTTGAGAAGGACGGAAACAGACCTATTGTCATCGAAGAACTAGCTTCGGTATGTTGATCTTAACTTGCATGACCCAGGATACTTCTTGCATCTATGCCTCATTTGGATGATTATTTAATTCTTATTATTCAACATTTTTCACATTATATATAAGATGGGTAGGTTGACAGGCATGAAAAACTTAATGAGTCGTATGTATGGCATTTATATTTTGGTCCTTTATAAGAATCATACTTCAATTTTCACCTGTTTTAGAAATTGATTTGCCCTTTCAACTTTCTTATGAACTTATTCTTGGTCTACACATGCTATGGCACTTCACTGTTAAGAAACATTGAAAGTAGGGAGAGAACAAATACTGTTGAGAGAAAAGATTAAAAAAATATTACTTTCTTGCTAGTTAGCATCAATTCTAATTAAGAGAGTTGTGCAGTCCGTATAAAATCCCTTGCAGTTAAGCCTCATTTAATTCTCGTTTATTTTTTGTAAATGTTTCCAACTACTATTGATGGTGATATTTATTACTTGGACATGAATGTGAGTGTTGGGCATGGATATGTGTGCCACCCAAATATGTTCAGTTTTTTCCATAGATTTTTCATTCATTTGGAGGGTTTGGATGATTATGCACCCGTATGCTCCAAAATGTTTTCGACACGGCACGACACAAGTACTTAAAGAAAAAAGAAAGAGTGAAAGTTGCGTAGATCATTATAGTTTCTTATAATGTTTTTCTAGGCACTCTCTCTAATGAGTGCAATTAATTTACTGTTTATTGTAATAGCATTATATGAAATGTAGTTGTCAATAAATTTATCCATACTTTGAACAGTGCCCTCAGGCGCTCATTAGCAAAATTCGTTTTTATAAGTTTAACATTGCAGATTTTTAATGTTCCATGTTATCTTGAGCAAGAAGTTTCCATTTCTTTCTTTTGTTTCCCTTTCTTGGGATGCTTGCAAGCTTTGAAGCAACAGAAAGACTAATCTCTAGCTTCTCTACCATTGCTTTTCAGGAGCTTGGACTGAGTCCATCCGTTCCTGTTCATGCTGTTCTTAATGACTGGATTAGGCACACTGATGGGAAGCTAAGTTTTCTCGGATTTGTCAAACTGTTGCATGGTGTATCTAGCCGAACCCTTGCAAAAGCTCAATAGAAGCCGTAAAACTTACAAAAGAGCTCCAAGAATTACATCTCTCTTGAGCTGGTTTGCATAAATAAATGAATCAGGTGAGGTATTAGGTAGCTAAGCCAGATTATGATAAGTGGTAGAGTGAATTTTGCCATCTCAATCACCGCGTCCCACCTCAAAGCGCTTCGGTTATGGCTTATTTCCTCCTCCTGGCACAAGCTTATATTAAAAAATGAATGAATGAAAAAAACGCATGATTGAAGCCACGAGTCTTATGCAAGTGCAACTTAACATTGACAAAGCTTTTAGTCATTTTTATGTTTTTCCCACTGTAAAGTTGTTTAAAAAAAATTGTGTTCAGGTCATATATACATAAATGGTTACAAGCGACTTGAAAAAACTGACACATTTCGTGTAGCTCTCGTGAGACCATTGTTGTTGTATCATCAGCTTCTCTTATGTGTTCCATAATTTGTAATGGAAAGTGTTATTGCCTTTAAAATCCTTTGCACGTCTAGTTACGGCTTGAGATTGAGTCACATATGATGGATGGGAAATTCATTCAAATCGATATCTTTTTAGGATTTTGATGAGACTTGAAGTTTTGCTATTCTACTCATCTTTTAAATAAAGGCAGATCTTATTAAAATCATAAGGAAATAAGGGGTTGTTTGTTTACTTCAGAAGAATGATTTAAATGTTGAATAATTCAGTCTCTGAATGAATTAGCTTTGAGTGACATGTTGTTAGATAATGACTCTGAATCATTCAGAATGTATTTTTGTGTTGAATTATTTAGCACTGTTTAGTTGAATCAGTCAGCATTGAATTATTCAGAGGTGTGAAACAAACGTGCTGAATGTTGGACGGTTCAGCATTCAACGCTGAATGATTTTACTAAGAGACAAACAAACAACCCTTAAATTACTTGAAGTAAAATCACAATAAAATATCTAATCTAAGGTTTACTTGGAGAAGTGAAACTAATGGCTTTTCCTAATTCCTAGTAGGTACGGTACGGCCATCAAAGTATTCGTATTTCTCAACACTATTTTACTTCTCACCTTGAAGCTTGAAGTCAAGACAATTTTAATATCCCCAATACAAATTTAATAGATAAATCGTAGACGACACCGACCACATCCTTATTTTTCGCACATTATTAACAATCGAAATTTATAGCATCATTTATCCAAAAATAAATTATAGTATCAACAAAATGCTCGGAAATTTTCAAATAATTAACATATAATAATATTAAATATTTTTTTCTCTTTTTCCATATTCCACTTTTAGTTAAATTTATTTTTTATGTTTTAATAATACATGCTTATATTTGTCTTTAAGAAAATTTATTCATTGATCTTGTGATTCGTTCTGGTTCAATTGTGAGTAATTTTTTTTTCATATAATATATTTAAATTTAATTATAAAATATATAAATATTAATATAAGGTTATATTCTTAATATTTTGTTTTTTTTCAAACAGTAAACTAAGTTATTTGGGCATTTTGTATATATATATATATATATATATATATATATATTGTTCTTATAACTTGCATCTAATAGGTTATCATTGGGCCGAAATTGGTATGCACAGTGTTCGGCCGAATCGGTTACTAAGAAATTTGATTCGAGTTTATAGAGGTAAAATTCGCTTTTCCGTTGGTGACTAGGAGCTCAGTCAAATGGCTGATGAGAAAGGCAAAGCCAAAGACACTGTGATTTCCCTCTCTTCTTCTGAGGAAGAAGATGAAATAGAAACAGAAGAAGATGATGAGGATGAGGAAGATAACGACCTTTCCAATTCCAGGTACTCAATAGACATTGATGTTTGTACCCAATAACTTCAAGTTGCTTTATTGCCATGGGAAAGTAAATTTCTAACATAGTTTAGAATAAAGGTTCTTTAAACCAATCTGGTTTCGTACTAATAATCTGTTCTTGTGACTTGGCAGCATACTACTGTCAAATGTCAATCTCTGGAGATTTATTTATTATATAGCTTCATTTATTCTTCCATTTACCATATTTGTTTCTCTTGATAGTTTCCATGCGGGGCAGCAGCTTCCATATGTTTTAAGACTGGACTTGCTCACCTTGAACAAAATCAACTTCCAGATTCATTATCCTGTTTTGATCAAGCTTTTCTGGCACTGGCTAAGGATAACTCGAGTGGTGATTTCTACGGAACAAGGCTACTGAGTTTGGGTACATAGACCATTATTCGTGACATATAATTCAGTTTTGATCTCTACAATCTGAGTAGTTTATGCTAATTATGATACTTTGGCGATACATAAATTCTAAAGTCAGTATCTAAAGGGTTGTTGCGGATAGGTTAAGCTTACAAATAGGGTTTACTTTATATGCCCATTTACTACTAGTCCCAAGCCTCGTCCTTTATGCTATAGTTGGGAACATAAATTTGTTTTCATGACTTGATATTTATTGCTTTGGTCCTCTTGCAGGAGATTCTGAAATTGCAGAAAGTTCAAGGCCCAAGAGCACTCGTGCAAAAGATGAGATGGCTAGACTATCTAGACATCTTGGTTCTTTGCCTGCACAGGCAAAGCACCGAAAAAATTGCATCCACGCTGCCATTAAACAAAATATGGATGTTCAGAACTATGCCTATGCGAAGCAGATGCTTGAACTTCTCCTGTCGAAGGCACCTCCCAGTAAGCAAGAGGAATTGAGGAGCCTGATTGACATTTGTGTCCAGAGGGGTTTAACCAACAAATCCATCGAAGAGCCTGATATGATGTTTGTGATCTTTGTGGTGCCAAATTTTCCGCACTCTCATCTCCTGGATGCATTATCTGAGGTATGGAAAGTATTAAAAGATCAGATTCGCTTGGAAGGGCTGGGCCAGTTCAGTCTCCGTTCGGCTGAGATCACATATGCCGTTTCTGTAATCCATCAGACTCTCCTGGAACCCCATCCTTGCATGTCGGATTGTTTTTCTACTATTGCCAGATGCCTCGGACACTGATCTTCCTTTTGAAAGTAGAGTTCCATCAGCATTGAGAATCTTGCAGGGGCCACCAGGTTATATGTATAATTTCTCTTTTCATTTGTATGTATATGATTCTTTTTTCAGATTGTGCGACTTCAGACCGTCATCTATTGTAATACATGTAATTTCACAATGATGTTTTCATTTGTTAGGAACAAATAATAGCGGTTTGTAATTTACCTTTATGCAATTTCCATGCCTTGTAACCAAAATTTTAATTGGAGCTTTTGCTGGAGATGGTTTCAACATTGGCTTCGTTTTTGTCTCGTTAAAAGTTTTCGTAGTTTGTATTTCAACCATTACCAAAATTAGCATTCCATATATACGTACTAAAAAATCTTGATAAATACTTTCCTCCATTATTTTGTAGGAGAAAAAAAGCTCACCAACCCCAAATCCGCGAACTCCTTTTCTAACCAATGCATCAAAATATAATTCTCAACGGTGTAAAAGCAGTCTGAAAGTGAAATCATATGGCATTAGCTGCACAAGTTGTGGAAGGGGCTCTTTCCCTTTTCTCTCCAAGCATTTCACTGCTTCCTTCCTCCCTTCATCTGGCAGCTGCAGACAAACCAAATCTATCAAAGATTCCAAACCCTTTACAAAGTCCAGCAGATACCAATCCAAAAGCTTTGGAATTATTAATTCGTTTGTGCTCGACATCCCCACTGCTGCCTGCAGGTAGTCTCTCTTTGCTGTTTCCAAGTCTTCTTTGACACCAGCCGCCGTGTATACTCTCACCTTCATTACCGAAACCGGCATTTCAGCACTTAAAAGAATGAACCCGAAGTTTTATATATTATTCGTTTCCATAGAGGATTGGGTAGTTAACTAAGAGTGTTTCCGACTATCTATGAAAGGAGATCGATTTCAAAGCAAACTTACAGCAGGAGATGACCAGCTTCCACATGCAAGAGCAAATGTAACAAAGGGTTCGGACCACTCGAGACCGAACATATTGCGTGATTTCACCTCATCACTTTTGGCTGCTTTAGGACAGGTCTTTAATAGAAAGAGAGAAAAGGGGTATATTTCCAGTTAGCAATATAAATTTTTTCAAGCAAAAAGATTATGGATGAATTTAATCCTCCCCTCTGCAAAAGTAAATATACAAGAAAGAACACTTTTATATACTTAAAAATTTCAAATGGAAAGGAAGTCCTAATATAAAATGCTCAATTGTTATTGCATTTAGCAAGTGTCCTCCCACAACTATTGTAGCCTGGGGCACCATAACCATAGACGAATATTAAGTCAAAGCATCCAAAAGCCGACATCAACAGTAGCTCAAAATAGCAACCATTATTTGAATGGGAAAAAATATGGATGAAACATGCCTTTTGCATTAGTGCTTTAAGTGTTTCAGGAAACTCAGGAACCCCATGCTCCAAAATTGCCTAACAGGCGCATTGCAAAAGAATTATGCTCTTGTGTTTTGCATATTAAGGTCGACAAACGTATCTTAATCCCAGAACCTATTAAAACATTAATCAAAATAGACATACTTACATTCATCATGCAGGAATTATAAGTGTTTATCCAAAATGCAAGCTTCTGCTGGTGGCTGAGACCCTCTAAATTGACAGAGGCTAGCTTCTCGAGCAGAAACCTGAAATCATAATCACATAGATAGGCTGAGTAGAAAATGTGACAATAACATATTATGCAAGAGAAACTAACCCAAGATCTTACTTTACTTTATGATTTAGAAACAAAGCATTTGAACACTGGTTTAGGTCAATGGTTTTCGCTTCAATTGCACAAAGATGTTTATAGGGGCCAATATCTCTACTTTTAAAATCTGAACAGATACCATAAGGTTGCGTTTGGAAGGGGGATTGTGAGATTACCGGGGGAATTTTTTTTCCAGAATGTGATACCCATATTTGGATTGCAAAGATTCCCGGTAAGGGGTAATAAGCTATTCCCAACAGTGAAATTTTGAGGGTTTATTACCGGGAATGTCATTCCCCCAATCTCTTAGATATTAATCTTTTCTCATGACTTTGGACTAAAATGACCTTAAAATAAATTTACTTTTTCAAAAATATCATTCTCCTAACCGTTGAATAAAAACAATTCTACGAAGGATAAATTGTACCTTAAACTATTTTAGATTTACAAAAAAATCCACAATTAAAATTTTATATGAAGTTCAGTGGTAAAAATAAAATTAAACCCTTTCATTAAACTAATTTATCTTTTAAATTTTGTAAAAAAAATATATAAATTCTATGAATTTAAATTTTTTAAAGAAAATATATAAATTAAAAATAATAAAATTATATATTTTCTATGATATTTTATACAAACACTTTCTTTTAAATATTAGAATTTAACTTGTTTAAAAAATAAATATATAACAAGGATAATTTGATAAATTATATATTACAATAATCTTTTATTCTTTTAACCAAACATTGTAATCTTACATTATTGCTAAACAAATTAAACACAACAATACAACATTCTTAGTAATGTGTTAGGTAATATTATATCCCGGTAATCGTATTCGGAGGTAATGTTACATTCCATAAACCAAACGCACCCTAAAAGTTTTGAAATTCACATTCTATAGGTAAAGTCCTGGATTCTACGGCTTTATCTTTCGAGGTGCTCTGTTGAAAATTAAAAAAAAAGAACAAGTTGGGCTGCTAAGTAGCAGCCGGCTGCTAAAACAAAATGGGGAATGTGGTTTTTTAGTCCTTTTGCACTTTAGGGTTAATTACAAGTTTAGTCCTAAGTTTCAACTATAAATACCCTAGCTCATTTAGCTTCAAAATCATCCCAAAACATTTCTTTCTTCATATATTAGAGAGTTTTCTTGTGAGTAGTGAGTGTTTTGTAAACACCTGTAAATTTTCTCTCTTAGTAAAAGATCTGCAGTAGCCGGAGACGTAAGCACAATTGGTTGAACTCCGTTATCAATTTTCGGGTATTATTTTTCCGCTTTTATTTCGCATTCTCACTAATCTGGTTATAGGGAAATTACTTGTACTCGGTTTATTTCCTAAAAACTGGTATCAGAGCTTTTGGTTGTGAATTTTATCAATTTTTCTGTGAGGTTACTATTCATTACTATTCACTTGAATAGTGAATTTCGTGAATAGTGAAATTCAGTCACGATACGAGTTTGTCGACGGTGGTGTTCTAATACACGATGGTTCGCAAGAATTGTCAGAAACGATCCAAAAGAATCCAGATTCGAGTGGAAGCGATGGCTGCAGACGAAGGGAAAATGAAAATTGAAAAGTTCGATGGTGCGGACTTTGGCTTTTGGAAGATGCAGATTGAAGATTTTCTATACTAGAAAAATCTTTATCAACCTCTCTCAGGAAAGCAACCAGAGGGCATGAAGAATGAAGACTGGACTCTTCTCGACCGACAAGCCCTCGGAGTCATCCGACTGACGTTGTCCTGAAATGTTACTTTCAACATAGCAAAGGAAAAGACCACGGCGGGTCTTATGGCGGCTCTCTCCAGTATGTATGAGAAGCCATCGGCCTCAAACAAAGTTCATTTGATGAGGCGATTATTCAATTTGCGGATGACGGAAGGGGCATCGGTGACACAACACCTAAATGAACTCAACACAATCACAACCCAGTTGAGTTCAGTGGAAATTGAATTCGATGATGAAGTTCGAGCTTTAATTCTCTTATCATCTCTACCAGACAGTTGGAATGCTACTGTTACAGCAGTCAGCAGTTCTTCGGGAAACAACAAATTAAAATTCGACGATGTTCGGGACCTGGTATTGAGTGAAGAAATTCGACGGAGAGAATCAGGTGAAGCATCAACCTCCTCAGCCTTGCACACGGAGTCTAGAGGGAGAACTTCAGAAAGAAATTCAAATCGTGGCAGATTGAAATCCAGAAGAGGAAAATCAAGAACAGGAAATAAAGATTTTACCTGGTATAATTTCGGTAAGAAGGGTCACTTCAAAAGAGATTGCCGAGCACTGAAGAAAAATACCGGCGCACAAGAATCTGCCAACATGACAGAGGAGACAGGTGATGCCATGATTCTAAGTGTCAACAGTCCGATTGAATCATGGATCTTGGATTCAGGAGCATCTTTCCACTCCACCCCGTGCCAAGAAATCATGGAGAACTATGTCAGTGGTGATTTTGGGAAGGTTCATCTAGCTGATGATGAAACCTTGAAGATCGTCGGAAAAGGAGACATCCGACTAAAGTTGCCAAACCAGACCACCTGGAAGCTGACATGAGTGAGACATATTCCTGGCCTCAAAAGAAATCTGATTTCTGTTGGACAGCTTGATGGAGAAGGATACAGTACAACCTTTTCAGGTTGTGAATGGAAGATTACCAAAGGAGCACTCGTCATTGCTCATGGTAAGAAGACTGGTACTCTTTATGTAACCTCAAATTTAGAGAATATCTTTGCAGTATCAGATGCTGATGGAAAATCAAATCTATGGCACCAAAGGCTTGGCCATATGAGCGAGAAAGGGATGAAGACACTTTTGTCAAAAGGGAAGCTGCCAGATCTAAAGAATGTAGATGTCGGACTATGCAAGGATTGCATCTTTGGCAAACAAAAGAAAGTCAGTTTTGCAAAGATTGGCAAGACACCCAAGGCAGAAAGGTTAGAATTGGTTCATACTGATGTATGGGGACCATCTCCAGTTCCATCTCTTGCAGGCTCACTATATTATGTCACATTCATCGATGATTCAACAAGGAAGGTGTGGGTTTATTTTCTGAAGAATAAATCAGAAGTGTTTGATACCTTCAGAAATTGGAAGGCCATGGTGGAAAATGAGACTGGTTTGAAAGTCAAGCATTTGAGGTCTGACAATGGAGGAGAGTACAGAGACAATAGATTCAAAGATTTCTGCGCAAACAATGGGATCAAGATGGAGACAACAGTTCCCAAGACACCGCAGCAAAATGGCGTAGCAGAGCGCATGAACAGAACTCTGAATGAACGTGCCAGAAGCATGAGGATACATGCCGGATTGCCCAAATTTCTATGGGCTGAAGCTATCAACACTGCAGCTTACCTGATCAACCGTGGGCCCTCAGTTCCTTTGGATGGTGGAATACCAGAGGAAGCTTGGAGCAAGAAAGATATAAACCTTTCACACTTAAGAGTGTTTGGTTGTATTTCTTATGTACACATAAACTCTGCTGAAAGAAGCAAACTTGATGCTAAGTCCAACAAATGTGCCTTTGTTGGTTATGGCGGTGATGAGTTCGGTTACCGGTTTTGGGACTACGAAAATCGGAAGATCATCAAAAGCAGATACGTCATTTTCAATGAGAATGTGATGTACAAAGATAGGTCAACCGTAGAATCAAGTAGTTCCAACATCGAAGCTGAAACAAAGGAATTTGCTGAATTCGAGGAGATTTCTGGAAATGATGTTCAGATCAGTCCTGAAGCAGTTCAAGAAGAACCATGCACACCGGAACTAAGACGCTCCTCCAGAATTCCTAAACCAACCCAACGGTATTCTCATTCTTTGCACTACTTGTTGTTGACTGACAATGGTGAACTAGAGTGCTATGATGAAGCAATGAAAGTGGAGGATTCGGTCAAGTGGGAGTATTCCATGAAAGATGAGATGGATTCGCTTATGTCAAATTAGACGTGGGAATTAGCTGAATTACCACCAGGCTAGAAAGCACTCCACAACAAGTGGATTTACAGAATCAAAGAAGAGCACGATGGGAGCAAACGATACAAAGCAAGATTGGTTGTCAAAGGCTTTCAGCAAAAAGAAGGTATTGACTACAATGAAATTTTATCTCCAGTCGTAAAGTTGTCTACAATCAGACTGGTGTTGAAAATTGTAGCTGCAGAGAATTTACATCTTGAGCAGTTAGATGTAAAGACAGCTTTCCTTCATGGTGATTTGGAGGAAGAAATCTATATGAGGCAGCCAGAAGGCTTCATAGAGGCAGACAAGAAAAACCTGGTATGCAGGTTGAAGAAGAGCTTGTATGGTTTAAAACAAGCTCCTAGACAGTGGTACAAGAAGTTCGATAGCTTCATGAGTAGCAGTGGTTTTATCAGATGCCAAGCAGATCATTGTTGCTACATCAAGAGGTTAGACAACAGCTTCATTATTTTATTATTGTACGTTGATGACATGCTCGTTGCAGGCTCAGACATGCAAGAGATTATACACTTGAAGCAAATATTGTCGAAGCAGTTTGCTATGAAAGATCTGGGCGCTGCAAAGTAGATTCTTGGGATGAGGATCAAGAGAGACACAAAGTCGGGGACTTTGATGTTATCACAGGCTGAGTACATCAACAAAGTACTCTCCAGGTTCAACATGCAAGATGCTAAACCAGTAAGTACACCTTTAGGTGTTCATTTCAGACTCTCTATAGAACAGTAACCAAAGACGGAGGAAGAACGTGCACACATGGTGAAGGTGCCGTATGCCTCAGCAATTGGAAGTCTGATGTATGCCATGGTTTGTACCAGACCAGATATTGCTCAAGCAGTGGGAGCTGTTAGCAGGTACATGAATAATCCAGGCAAAGTACACTGGGAAGCAGTCAAATGGATCCTCAGATATATGCGAGGTACCACAAACAAAGCACTTTGTTTCAAAGGTGGAGATACGATACTGATAGGCTATGTAGATGCTGACTTAGCCGGAAATGTTGACATCAGAAGGAGCACTACAGGGTATGTCTATACTCTAGGAGGAACTGCAGTGAGTTGGGTTTCTCAACTACAGAAGATAGTTGCTCTCTCCACAACCGAAGTAGAATATGGCGCTGTTACGGAAGCCAACAAGAAGATGGTCTGGCTCCAAAGTTTCTTGGAAGAGTTAGGCAAGAAACAAGAAAACAATGTCTTGTATTGCGACAGTCAAAGTGCTATCCATCTAGCAAAGAATCCGTCTTTTCATTCCAGGACGAAGCACATACAATTGAGATATCATTTTATCTGGTCTCTTCTGGAAGATGGGATTTTGAAACTTGAAAAGATCAGTGGAGCTCAAAATCTGACAGATATGTTGACAAAGACGGTGACCACGGACAAACTGAAGTTGTGTTCAGCTTCAGTTGGCATGCTAGAATAACAATACCAGAAATGCTGCTGCATCGATCGAGGTATGAAGATGGATTAAAATCAGTCTTCAATTGGGAGATTGTTGAAAAAAAAAAAAAAGAACAAGTTGGGCTGCTAAGTAGAAGCCGGCTGCTAAAACAAAATGGGGAATGTGGTTTTTTAGTCCCTTTGCATTTTAGGGTTAATTACAAGTTTAGTCCTAAGTTTCAACTATAAATACCCTAGCTCATTTAGCTTCAAAATCATCCCAAAACATTTCTTTCTTCCTATACTAGAGAGTTTTCTTGTGAGTAGTGAGTGTTTTGTAAACACCTGTAAATTTTCTTTCTTAGTAAAAGATCTGCAGCAGCCGGAGACGTAAGCACAATTGACTGAACTCCGTTATCAATTTTCGGGTATTATTTTTCCGCTTTTATTTCGCATTCTCACTAATCTGGTTATAGGGAAATTATTTGTACTCGGTTTATTTCCTAACATGATCAACCTTGCAAGAATGCTAAACAAGAACCTTACAATATCCTCAGATATTTTGTTTGGTGTAAAATCAGCTTCTGACATTTTATCATCTGATGAACTTGAAGGGCTTCCTTGTTCACTTTCCTGGTTTGCTAATCTACCATCTAGCTGGACAGTAGGAAAATCCCACAATTCATAAAACCACAATGAAGCGAAGAACTACGCTTCTTTTAACCAGAAATCAGTACATACCTGCACCTTAAGAGGATTCAAACATTTTTCTGCTGATTCAAGCTTGGTTGGAAGTCTCTTTACCAGAGTCACAATGTTGGGAACTTTCTTATCCAGAGATTTTTTATCCTTCAAAGCATTGCCAAATGATTGGTTTTCTTTTCCTGTGACATCTCCAGAAGCAGAATTGAATTTTGTGGAACCTTGTCTCCCATTTGTCGTCCTGTTAAAGCACTGCCCAGATCGATTGTGAACCGTATCCAGAGGCAATAGTTTTCTGCTTGAAACATTTCTAGAGAGAGATGGTTGAGTTCTGGAAATGGTTTGTACCGGACTCGTCTCGTTCACAGACGAAGACTTTGAGCGCTGGTGGTTAGTACTTCGAGCCGAAGGCTGCTCAACGGTGAATTGATTCGAATTCTCCACATTCCTCTTGGAAGATGCATAGACAGCCTCTTGATAAAGGCCTTGCCTAAAATTCACTACTTGCTCTTCAAGCCTAACAACTTCCTCTTCCAAAACAGCTACCTCAGCAAGTAACTCTAGTGTCTGAAAACCCCTCAAAAAAAAAAATTCATTCTCGAAACCAAACATTACATAAACACGTAGAAATTTCCGATTTTCAAGTATCAGAACAAGTCTTCCTCAAATGCAGCATGCAGTTAAGTTAGACTTACATATGGAGGTAGGTAAGAAGGAAGCCGAGGAAGTGCCCCTAAAGGTCTAGTAAAAGCTCTCTCCAAAGCTCTATGCACATTCTCTTCATGTCTAACCTTCATTTTTAGCTTATCAACCTGCAAATCACACCGATAACACCTCAAATTTGTTATAAAATGCAAAATATGCAAAAAAAAAAAAAAACTAGGAGAAAATCAATTGAATACACTAAAAGAGTGTATAATATTTGGTTACATCTTGTAATAAGGCTATTTCCCTTTCCCTATTTGATCTTCTCCTGTTTGTCACTGCTTCGCCGGTACCAAGTGTTCTACTTCCCTGATTCTTCTCCATCTTCTCCTTTGTATAATCCAAAGGCAAAAACAAAAAATGGTAAATTCAGTGAAGAAAAAAGATTTACACAAAGAAATAGTTGAAATAAAGAAACTTGAAGAAGACATTACTCATTTCTCTTTTTATGACACAAGCAATAATATAGCAAATTAAAACGATTTCAGAATGGGGGAAATTCAAATTTTCTTCGAAGTTTCAACTTTAATCCTCAAATAATCAACTTTGGACATTCAAACTGAAAAATAAAAAAAAACTCCAAATCTTGTAAAAACAAATTAAAGGTGAACATAAAAAAAAAGGAGAGGGAAGAGTGAAGAGAGAAATTACTTTATTGTAGTGCCCGTCAAGATTTAAAGGAGCTTTCATGGACTGAAGAGTGTTGCGGACTCTTGTATTCATCTTCTATTCTCTTTTTCCTTTTTCTTTCGATTTAAAGAATCAATATCCAAAAATTAAACACCCTAACAATGCAACAAATATCTACACTTTTACTACTACTACTAATAATATTCCCATGATCTGAAAGAAGCAATGCAAGCAGAAGAAAGAAAACAAAGCAATAGCTTTTTGATATTACTCTGAGACGAAATTAAAAATAAAACGTGGGAGTGATAAAGAAAAGAATTTTCTTTGAATACCCTTTGTTTATTTCTAAGTTGAAGAGCGGGAAAACTTGAAAGTAAAGCGACCAGGAAATTGCTTGCATGTAAATAGGTTTTTTACACTGCAAGTTTTTGTTTATTTATATACTAAAAAAAAGTGGATCAAAGCTTTGTATTATTGTAGAATATTAATATAAAAGTATTCAAAAGAGTGAAGAAGCAGAGAAAACGACGAGGATTGGAGCTTCAAATCGCTATTGAATCCAAGAATAGCGTAACAGATGGACAAACCAAAGCAAAAACAAAAGATAAAATATTGCATACGTAAGTAATTATTTGTCGTTGATAACATCTTAATGAGATTGTTTATTTTATTGAAAACAAGATTTTGTTTAGCATTAAAGAAATGGTAGAGTGAAGACAAGAGTAATTTACTGGCTTACCGCCATGTTCAGTTCATCAGCTTCTGTATTAGATCATGAGAGAGGCTTTTGTCATCTTCTCTTCGTTTAGGTAGTGCTTCAATTATTTTTGGCTTTATAAAATAATTGTTTAAACTATAATGTCTTTCATTAATAGATGCCTAAACTATTTTTTTTAAATGATTTTGATGTCTAACGTTACAAACGTTATTACTTTACGTGCAGGAGCCATTAACGGTATTTGAAACACCATAAAATTCGGACTAACAATTTCGGGTTTACCCGAGAGGTAAGTGGATCCCGTAAAATTCATATTTTAAGCCGTCGAGTCAAGTTGGGTTGAGTTTGGAGAAAAATTTAGCTAAAAAGGAGTTTTTAAATTTTGAGAAATTAAAGAGGGACCAAAGGTGCAATTATCTCATTTTATAAAAGATGAACCTATTTATTTCCTTCATACTCTTTTTCCTACCATTTCTTCTTCTTCCATCTTCTTCATCTCCAAGGGTCAAGACCAAGCTAAAGAGAAAAGTTGGGATAAATCTTCCAAATCACCAAGTAAAGGAGTTTGGTTAAGCAATGAGCTTCATTTAGGGTTTCTAAAATTAAGGTAGTGTATTTCTAATTATTTGGAGTATCAAGTTCTCATAAATTTAAAGATTTTGCAATGATTTGATGATTTGAGCAACTTAGGGTTTAGTTTTGAATTCTTAAGCAAATCACGTTTTAGGTGTTAATAATGTGTTTTTATGACTCCTTAGGACCCTAAACAACTTACTAAAGCTTCATAATAAGATTAAGAATCAACCCAAATCATTTAGAATGATTTTTGGGTGATTCCCGAGCCTAAATAAACCATTTTTGGGTTCAGGTATCGATAATGAGAAGAACAATATCGATACTAGTTGAATTGGGGCAAAAATTAGGGATGTAGGCTGAGAGTATTGATACTGCCAGGGAGAGTATCGATAATACCCCTGCAGTCTCGATACTCAGGATGATAGTATCGATACTAGGCATCAATTTCAGAAACAAAATACATTTTTAGTACCGATACTCATAGGGGCATCGATACTGCATGTAGAGTATCAATACTACTCACTTTGGATGGTCATTTTTGACCCGTTTAAAGCCCATAAGAGTTAAGGATGATCTGGAGTAGTAAGACTTAGTCTGTGAGGGACATAAATGACCAAACATACTTAGAAACACTAATAGGAGTGGGTTACAACATATGTAACTATATTAAGCGTATTACGTCGAAATATCTTTTTTCAGTTTCATTACCACATTCCCAAAGCATTATATAAAATTGGGTTAATTACCCCATTCATACATGAATTATATCCGATTTTCAGTTTATAAAATTGGGTTAATTACCCCATTCATACATGAACTATATCCGATTTTCAGTTTCATACATAATGTTTAAAAATTCTCGATTTCATACATGATGTTTTTTGTCATTAACAGAATCACCTACTTCCCTCACGGAAAGTGACGTGGAACCCTACGACAACGACATGTAACACTTTAAAAATATGTTTTTAGGTAAATTACACTATTCATCACTCAACTATCTTCTCACTCTTATTTTAGTCACTAAAATTTAAATTTTTTTAATTTAATTATTAAACTACACTAAACCTTAACCAGAGAAAACGTTCGTCTCCCCCTTTTTCTCCCCTTTTTTTCCTATATATCTTGACCTGTACTCTTTCTTCACTATTTGATCGCTTGAATTCATTTTTTTAACATTCAATATAAACATGTGCACAGAGAAAAGAATGTCTGATTTCATCTTTTGACATTTTTCCTTGAAACAATCACAAAAACTACAATATATCTTAACCTGAAATCTTTCTTCAGCATTTAATCGCTTTTGTTTATGTAGGTGTCTGCAACCATGCATTCCACTTTCACTGCATCAGCCGATGGTTGAAGACCCGTCAAGTGTTTCCTTTGGCTATGCTTTGCCTCCCATGTTCATGCCGCTCGGATATTTTGCCCCGTTCCATTCTTTTGACTCCATGGAACTATTTCCATAGCTTTGCTTTTGCAGATAATAGTGAGTGGGAGTTCCAAAAGTATGGTCACTAGATCTTTCAGAGTGGCTACCCGGTTGAACCTCGTTGCGGAAGAAGGTTGCTCGTATTTCTTCAGTTTTCTGTAGATTCTTGTAATTTTTATTAGGAAAAACATTTGGTTGTATGAAATAGAATTGGAATTTGACATGCTCCCTGTGCAAAATGCTAAATTTTGAATGAGAATTATTCCTTCTTGTGTTGATCCCTCCCTTTCATGCTCATTCATGATATCATCCTCTGTGTACAGATTGTATCATCATTCTACAGTCTTTTGATCAAAGATTGTTGACTACTTTTTAAGGTTCGTCTCCCAATCAGATCCTTCACTAAAACCAAAACCAAAAGTGCCATCTTTTATAAATAAATCAACTCAATTTTCTCTCATTTCCCAAAAGAAGTCAGAACAAATAAGACCCATGAGAAGCCACAAGTAAAAAAAAGAGAGAACAAAAACCCAAGAATTTAAAAGTTGGGAATGCTGACCTTTTCTGCCAGTGAAAGAGCAGAGATTCAGATCCAAAGAGGAGAAGAAAGCAGCAAGGAGCATTGACTTAGTTGTTGAAGCAATGAAGGGGGATTCAGCTTTTGCTTCCAAATCAAATAGAGAAAAATCTGTAAAAAATTATGTTTTAGTTGATTAGTTTAATGAGATGAAAGAGAAAAAGAGAGAGTTTGAAGAAGAAGCAGAGTGAGCGGCGTTATTTCATGGCCGTTTAGGTCGTCACCGGTAGGAGTAGTGGACGATCGATGGTGGCCGGTGGCGTTAGTGAGCATATGAGCCTTTGACCATGAGAAAGAAGATGGGTTTGGGAGAAAGAGGGGGGAGACGAACTTTTTCTCTGGTTAAGGTTAGTGTAGTTTAATAATTAAATTTAAAAAAATTAAACTTTAGTGACTAAAATAAAAGTGAGAAGATAGTTGAGTGATGAATGATATAATTTACCTAAAAAATAAAAAAACATATTTTTTTAAAGTGTCACGTGTCATTTTATTAGTGGTCGTAAGTTTCCACGTCACTTTATGCAACGGAAATGGGTAAATCCGTTAACGGCAAAAAACATCATGTATGTAATCGAGAATTTTTAAACATTATGTATGAAACTGAGAATCGGGTATAGTTCATGTATGAATGAGATAATTAACCCTATAAAATTTTACTATTAGTAACTAGTGTACAATGTGCATGGGCCGAATTGAATGAATGATGCCTTTAGTAGCAGAAACACGTGAGGGTTCATGTGCCAATCACCCAATCTAATATCTAGTCATTTTAGTTTTAGATACATAAATGATAATTCCATATGAAATATAATAAAAAAGGTGAAAAAATAATAATATAAACTCTATTTTGCGATGATTGCAAAGAAATTATAGTTTCTCGGTGAGTGTTGTGCACCCGACAATTAATTGAAGAAATAAGCAAAATTAGGATTTAAGCTATTAGAATTTAGATGAAATGTTAATTTCTTTAACACATAAATATGTCAAGATTGGCCACCAACAATTTTAAGTGCACAAATTAAGATATTGGTATACCTTACAAAATCCTAACTTCCAATCCAACTTTTTTAGTAGAGTCATTCCAATTAAAATGTTATAGTTTGGACACTCTTCATCTTGTACAAATTGGTGGTTACAAGCTTTAGTTCAATTGTTCATATTTTCATTTCCTTAAGAGATATTATTCAATAAATCTTAATATTTATAATCTCGTCTTTTAAGAAAATGACAAAAGAATATTTAAAATTGAGTTTTTTTTTTAATTTAGTCAATTTTTTAAATTGTTGATTAAAGGCGTTTTGGAATATTAAAATTAGAAATAATTAACTGTTTTGAGATAATATTTTTTTAAAGAAAATATCGTGGGTATAACAAAGCTCAAACATTAAAGGAATAAAAATTACATCACATGTTTGAGATTTGAATAGACGATTACCTTCAAGATATCACACGTAAAAAAAAAAAAAAAGGAAACGGAGGATGATTCATAACAATAAAAAAAGGGGGAAACCAACTAAAGTCTAAAACTAAGAAAGGCAAGTCTTGAGTTTGTATTGAAAAACTTGAAAACAATGCAAGAGATGGTCCCCATATTCTCAAGCTACCACTTCATTCAATATAAGTTGGGTGGTCCCAAAGGAGGTGAGACCCACTTTGGAATTATGGGTGAAGGGCTAAGGTCAGGGTGAATGCGGTTCAACCCCAAAAAAATGTGGGAACAAATGCTTAAGTTTGATGCTAAGCCTAGCTGACCCACATGCAAAAAACAAGGCTTTTATCTCCTCCCAAAATCACCAAACCATTGGAACAACAATCAAAACAAACTTCAAAGGTAAACAAAGTTTCAAATTAAACTGCTCAAGACTATCCTTTGATTGTCGAGTACAAATTTATTACCTTTATTCTTTTC